ACTCATTTGTACTTAAAATGAAATAAGGAACAGCCAGGAATTAATTGAAATCTCATTCCTACATTCTAAGTTCCTCAAGAAGAAAGTATCCTTGAAAAAAACAGACTTAAAGAACTGCTTAGGGTAACTGTGTATATCATGACCACTTTGGCCTGACTGCACAGAGAACACTAGAGAGAAAAGCTAAGGAAGAATTTGGGTCAGCCAAACCTAGAGAAAGTCCTTTGGGTTCCCTGCAGATGTAAAATTTTTACATTTCCTTAGGAAGATTCAAAGAAAACACTACCAGCCTTCCAGATCTGCCAACGCTGAGCTACGAAGGACCGTATTTCCCTCTCCACAGAACAGAAAAGTTCATCAGAGTCCCCATTCCCAAGAAAATACAGTTCCAGCCTCTCACCTTGTCAATGAAAGAGGCAAACTGATTGTTAAGAGTCTTGATCTGCTCCTTCTCCTGGCACTTCACTTGTTGGATCTGAGGATCAATATCAACATGGACTGGCCGCAGGAGGGTCGGGTCAACCTGCACCGGCTGGATGCCTCCAGGGAACCCAGGACCACCTCTCACAGGGCTACCAAAGCTGCCTATTCCTCCACCAATGACACCTCCTCCAATGCTGCCAAATCCTCCTCCATAGCCTCCACCAAAGCCACCAATTCTACATCCGTATCCACCGCCATAAGAGCCACCCATGGAAATCCTTCCGCTGCCACCCATGTTATGGAGGCTCCTGCTGCTAAAACCTCCACACCGTCCGCCGCCTCCAAATCCCCTGGATGTGGAGAACGAGCTATAGCTGATCCTGCTTCTGCCCCCACTTCCTCCAAAGCCACCACCGATGGCAGAGCAAGAGCTGTATCCCCTTTTGCTTCCGCCTCCAAAGCTTCTACAGATCGACTGCCGAGACATGGCTGTTTCTTCCAAGCAGAGTTGAGGAGAGCAGAAAGACCAACGGAGCTGTGCTGCTGAGGGATGAACGCAGAGAGAAGTGTGCACCGTCTTCTCTGGCTCCACAGCTTCAGGCATTCCCTTTTATCTGTTTCTGGAGGTGGGCTGGGTCTACAAGGGCGTGAAGAGGAAACAAATTTACTGTCTTCATCAGCTTGGTGCGGTTAACAGATTTTTGCCAAATTGTTGACTCCACCCAGAAATACGCTTTGCAATGCAGAAGAGAATAAAGGAGTAAGAGCACTGAAAGAGGTCCCAATGAGTAAGTGGACTCTCATATCTTTATGGCATCTGGAAAAATATGTTTTACAATGATGTAGTCATGTTCTTCCTTCCTCCCACCTTTCCATCTGTTCTTAATGATTTCACAGTTTGTCTGGATCTGGATCTTTTGTACTGACACTCAATGTCAGGCAAGCATTTTGGTGAAAACCACCTAGAATGAGACTTTCACAATTCCCCCCAAGCACACCCCAAATCTCCTCCTTAAGTGGAAAATTGCTGATGGCTTTCCAAGAGGCGGTTTCCCAGTGGAGAGCAAAAATACCACACATTAACATTTGACAACTGTCAGCATTTCTTTTTTATCCAGAAAGGAGGTGCTTAGTTTCCTAAGAGCATCAGTTGGGATGGGAGTGCCTTCTTCTCGGGCACATTCCTGCAAATGTGTCTCCTAATCTGAGATAACCAAGTACCGAGACTCTGAGCACCAGAGCGGGGTAAGAAAGAGAACAAGGATGTTCAGGCTCCTTCCTTGTGCTTTTCAGATGGCCACGGGGATTGCCAAACCTGCAGAGGACTGAAAGGACGCTTTGGGCACTGGATGTGGTAATGATGACTGAAGAGTGGCTGGTTAAGGGTTTTTTTTAACATAAGTTGGTAGGCAAACGATCAGTCTGAGTTCACCATACCCGATCGATTGGAAATCAGGGGCAACTAACAGGTAGAAGAAGCTCTGATGCTTTCTTAAGTAGTAACAGCTAAAGTATTGCTGTATATGAAGTGTTCTATAAGAACTGTGACATCGTTGCCCGCATCTTTGACCACAGTAAATTTGGAGTGGGGGAGAAAAGGGCTGCTGACCAAATTCACTGTAGAAAATGTATTTTTAAGACGAAAGCTGCTGCTTCAGGCTAGATAAGAATAATGTTTAATTTCATGTGCAACCTGTCTGGTTATGAAGTAGGAAGCTCACCTGAAGGACACCTTGCAGATATCTTCTGTGTGTCATTAATTAAATATACATTTTAGTTACATTTATGAGTTTTAAGGGAAAAAAACAAACAAACAAACAAACAAAAACCCAATATATTCCTAGTGCTTACTTCCTAAAAATCATGAATAAATGTCAAGGGAAATATATTTTAAAGCCTTCTAAACATTTTAGCAGCCCAATATTGCACTGTACTTAAGCTTCCAAAGTAAAATCTCCATGTGTGTTTGAATTTTCACAATCACCCATAAGACTTGCGCAACTCAATGTTGTTTGAAAGCATCACTAGGGATCAGCCTTCAGCCACAGACACTTCAAAGCCTTTGAAACACCAGCCCAGAGAGTCACTTTCAAAAGCCGCCGGAGGAAGCAGAAGGACAACCGCCGTTGGCTGTCACTGAGGTGGAGGCTGCTGGACACCACGCTCTCTTCACAGGATGGGGCGTAGGGGGGTGGCGACCGTTACCCTTGGGGGGCTCAAGTGATGGTTGGCCAAGGGTTACCCAGGTGCGTGTGGCCCGCCCGGGGGCTGCAGCTGGAGGCTGGGCAGCCGTCCCTAAGGCAGGGAGGGGGCACCTTCCCCTTCAAAAGCAGCGGAATGAAGAGGGGCTTCGTCCTCAGCTGTTATCCTCAAGACAGAAAATTGTATTCTCCGGCTCATTCTGCAGCCAGTGCACTCGCTCGTGGTGAGCAGACCTGGGGAGGTGTAACGTAGCTCAGTTTTCAGTTGCAGAAAACAGGTCAGCTCTTCTCATGGCCTCCTTCCAGGTCGCCAAGCGCACGGTAGCTGCCTCTCTCGGTAGGCAGCGTGACTTGGTTGTAACAGCCCACGTGGCAGCTCCACGGCGAGGGGGAAGATCTGTTAAGTCAGCCAAATGCCTGGATGCTGACCGCATTCAGCACACAGATAAGACGCCCAAATTGAGTCACTCTGACGTCTTCAGACAAGATGTGAAGATTATACCAAACCCGGAGTCACTTCACCCTCCTCCAGGTAAGACTCGATAGACAGCCCAGGCTCCAGCTGTTCCTTCAGATCTCTTACACAAGGAGCTGTGCACAGCAAAATCATCAACACCGGGCAAAATGTAAACTCTGCAGAAAACAGAGATGGAGCCCAGGCCAGGCTGCAGCTTCGGATCTCACACGGCAAAGAGCTCCTGGCAGCATAGAGGACAATGTCGCAATGATGCCTCACAACAATGCCTACAACGCCACGTTTCAGATTTTAAAGCTGAGAAGAAACAGTCTTCAAATTAAGCACGAAAACAAGTGACTCTTTCTCCAAGCCAAACCCCAAAGTGCTCTTGGCACAGCCCCAGCTTCTCAGAGGCATTGCCTTCTCATCGTCTTCTCTTCGGGCCAAACCCCGTCACGTTCCCCAGCTCTAGCACGCTCCTGCTGGGCTTCAGAGCAAGCAGGAGACCCTCGCCACCACTCCCCACTGCCTTGGCTGGACCTCCTCCTAGCTCTGCAGCTTCCTGACCTGCTGCGGGGACACCGGCACCTCACAGCAGGTTGCTCTGGGACTCCTGCACCACTATGAAAGCGGTTTCCGTCTCTTTGATCTCTTCTTGTGGCGGAGGAGCTGAAGCACAGCGCAGATCAAACACGCCATTCCTCGCCCAGTCCCCCCCTCCTCGAGCGAGACCAAACCTCTCCCTCTTGCTCTCAGTGTAAGGAAGAGGCACTGGGGGAATCAGCCGGCTTTTGGGGAGCTGATGGGGACCTGAGCCCATGGGCCTGGGATGAATCATGCCTTCCCAGCCCTCCATGTTCCCCTTGTGGTGCATGAAGGGGAGGCTGAGGCAGCGGTTCTCAAGCACCCCTGGAGCTCATGGGGTGCCGAGCTGTGCAGCCGGCCTGGCCACAGCTCACTTGTACGCCGGAGGGAAGGTGCTTGGCCAGCGTCCATACCCACGCTCACAGGCAGCTCTAAACCTGCCCTCCCACCACTGCCCACAGGACTCCTACCATTGCCATCTTCCCCTACCACAAAACAAAGTCCACTCCAAGGCAGGAAACTCAGATTAACTGACAACAGCAGACTGATTTGATGTCTGCTCCCATCCTGCCGCTGCTGATTTCCATCATCAGTCTACGTTTGGGTCTCTATTGGTTTCGTCAATATGCACTGGCAGCATTCCTGCACAAATCCCAGAACTTTCTGTTTCTCATTTCAGTATACCCAGTTTATTCTTGCTCTAAAAATCTGAAATCCAAGACAGAGATTGATAAAACCCCTTTTGCAGAGCAAAAGCAATTTCTGTGTTATCAGATCACTCTGGTAAGGTGTGACATGGGCAACAAGACACTGAGTTCTTTAGTTCGCATCAAGACTGTGAAGTAAATATTGGCACAGGGTAGACTGGAGCCTCCTCAGTGATTCGGAGTGAGCTGGACCCCTCTATGCTGAAGGTTTGCAGACACAAGAATTGGAGACATCTGTGACAACCACTATACTTGATACCAAGGATGAGTCTTTATCAAGACCTGCCCAAAAATTAGGCAGCCTCATCAAGACGTCCAGCTTGGGCTCCCAGTGCTCCTATCTGCTCACATTTACTGCACATCGCTTTACTGGAGCACCCAGAACCCGACCGTTCTAGGTATGGGCTTGGGCTCTCAGGCACTGCAATGGCTGGTAAGAGTCAGGAGGCATCACTCACGCTGGGACACCCGCCTGGCTCTCTCCACACACCCATCCAGCTCCCCCAAAGCACGGTTACGACGCGTTGAACAGACGAACAACCCACACCTTCCCACCAAGTCGCTTCCCCAACAGAAAAAAACACCTTGCCTAGAAGTGACTCCCCAAGCAGCGACACAAAGACATCGTGAATGTTCTCTGCAATTTATTGAGAATGGCAACATCCCAAGGAAGTAGGGCATACCACAAACAGAAGAGGAAGGGAGGTGGGGACAGTACATCCCGTGCCATGTCACAGGGGGCCTGGCGGTGAAGAGCAAGCTTTGCTCTCCTTAGAAAAAGTCCACATGTGTGTGAGGTGTTACCAGGTGTCACGGAGAGCAAGGACAAGTGGAACGGGAAGCCACCACTCCAGAGAGAGCTCCCGTTTACACCGCACCTGGGGCTACCAGGTGAGCAATGCCGCCCAGGTGCTTCACCCTGGGGCACTTAATCCCTCTGGGCACCTGCCGAGAAGATGCTCCCTCCTCGGCTCTGCCAAGGGACGAGTCCCACTTGCCCCACATCTACCCTGACCCCAAAGGCTAGTGAATGGAAGCAGCGGGATGTACTGCATGCAGAAGCACCCCAGGGACACGGCCATCAAGGGAGGAACACGAGGACAGAGGAAGAAAGAGGGGTTTTATACACATTTGCCACGAGGCAGCCAGAAATGTACAACACAGCAAGAAAGGCAGAGCGCTCCCCTCCTGTAAATCAGCTCTCCGTGCTGGGTATCCACAGGTGAGACTTCTCTTTGCTCAGGTGGTTATTTCATCTCTGGGCTTGGAGCGAACAAGCAGCTCGCCAGAGCTCTTGGTGGGACATGGCACTGCCACGACGCTCCCTGGATGGGACCAAGCCAGGCAGCTGAGCTGGGTTGTGGTGGGCCGTGAGGGACACAGTTCGTTTCATCGCAGGATGCCGGAGCTGGATTTAAGGAGGCTGGGCTGCTGCCGGGAGAAGATGGGAGATGCTTCTTTCCTTTTTCAATCTGGCTTTGGGGCTCAGAATCTCACTCCTGAAGATTTGACGGAGGTGGTTGTGACACATCTCCGTACGGAGGACGATCCCCCACCTCCAGAGCCGCACATCCTTCCACTTCCAGAAGAGAAGCCACCGCCGTACACTCCTCCTCCCATTCCACAGCTGCCGCCCATGCTTCCTCCTCCAAAGCTGCCTCCTACTCCACATACGCCTCCTCCCATTCCTCCTCCCATGCCGCTGCCTCCTCCGAAGCCTCCTCCCATGCCGCTGCCTCCTCCGAAGCCTCCTCCCATGCCACCGCTGCCTCCTCCGAAGCCTCCTCCCATGCCACCGCTGCCTCCTCCGAAGCCTCCTCCCATGCCTCCTCTGCCTCCAGAGATGGTGCTTCTGCCTACCACAGCTGGAAAAGAAGCATAGTGTTGTCCACCGTCAGTCTGTATCTCCAAAAAGACACGGTGTGCTACTACTTCTTAAGGAAACAAATGCAGATACTTACAGACGTTGACGTTGGACATGCCATCATTGCACAGCCTGTGAGGGAGAACAGGACTGGTTATTCCTGGGGAAGTCCATATTTCTTCAGCTGACAATTTCCCCTTTTTTAAAAAGGTATGTATTCCCTATTCTTTCTAAATTTCCCAAGTATTCTTTAAAACAAATTAAAACCTTGAGCTTAAGTTTCTTATAAGAAATATGGAAAACATATTTAAGGCTAAGAATTAGAGCACAAGTGATATGGAATTTATCTTCAGAGTGCATGCAAATGTTTCACAAAGGCATACTATAATCTTTCAATAATTTAGTGGAATAGTTACAAAGAAAGAGACGTACCTGTTCTCCTCTCCCTCCAGCAGCTTCCTGTACATGGCAATCTCAACATCCAGCGCAATCTTGATGTTCAGCAGCTCCTGGTACTCCTTCAGCAAGCGAGCCAGCTCCTCCTTGTCCTTGCTCAGGGCACATTCCAGCTCTTCCAGTTTTATCCTGGCATCCTTGAGGGCCATCTCACCCCGCTCCTCGGCCTCGGCAATAGCTGACTGCAACTGCTGGTTCTGTGAAAGAAAAAAAAAAAGCCATTTCTCAGTTCCCTTCTGCACCCCCTCCACTGGAGCAGCCCTCAGGGCACAAAGCAGATGCAAAAATAAGCAGGAACCATCAATCTCCTCCAAAAGACCTCAGTTCCAATGACTACGTTTCCCTCACACTACCCTCAGCACACCGCCCAGCTCAGCTGTGACCCGGCCTGATGCCCATACCCAACAAGACGATGAGAAGTCCTTACCTGCTTCTTCACGTTCTCAATCTCAGCCCGCAGCCTCTGGACATTCCTGGTCAACTCTTGGATCTCTACCTTGGTGTGGCGGAGGCTGTCCCCGTGCCTTCCAGCGGTGTTCTGCAGCTCTTCATACTGATGGCAGGGAGACAGAGCAAGCCCGGAGTGACACAACCTACCAGGAGCTCAGGCGGTTCCCCTGCTCTGTGACAAGGGGGCCGACGACCAGCAGAGACTGTCCCAGGTGCTCCCCCCCAACTCACCCGGCTCTGGTACCAAGCCTCAGCTTCGGCCCGGCTGTTCTGAGCAATCTGCTCGTACTGGCGCCTGACCTCCTCGATGATGCTGTCCAGGTCCAGGTGCCGGTTGTTGTCCATGGACACCACCACGGACAGGTCCCGGCTGATTGTCTGCATCTGCGCCAGCTCCTGCAACCAAGACGTGCCTGAGCCTGACCGGCCAGCGAGGAGGGGAGCAAAGAGCAGCAGCTCCGAGCAGCCTCTCCAGACCCAATCCGCATGGACACCCCGTCCAACCTCAGCGGCTTTGACCGCCACACGCTACACTGCAGCTGCAGCCAGCCCGGGGGAAGGCAGAGCTCTTACCTCCTCGTAGATGCACCTCAGGAAGTTGATTTCATCGGTCAGAGCTCCCACCTTGGCTTCCAACTCCACTTTCGTCATGTAGGCACAGTCCACGTCCTAGAGGAAAGATCCCACAGATAGACAACGGCTTCAGCCCAACCCCAAGAGCCGTTGGCAGCCAATGCCTCCTGTTGGAAGCCGCTCGTCTTGGTGCTGCCCTCTTCCAATCTCTGTGCAACCTGTCCCCCCACGTCCCCTTTCTCCTGGTGCCTCTGGGACTCACCTTCTTGAGCACCACAAACTCGTTCTCAGCAGCAGTGCGCCTGTTGATTTCCTCTTCGTACCTGGTGAAGGGGACAAGACGAGGTGACTCTCTTGCTCCGCTCATCAGTCTACCAGTGGAAGCCCCCCTGCCCTCCACAGCAACCTCGGTCCCGTTTCTGCAGAGCTCCGCAGCAGGGGGCAGGCAGTCTGGCAATCTCCAAGCTGCTCTAGCTCTCCTGCCCTGGTGCTCACGCCTTCCTTCACCTGGCACTGCACTTACTTGGTTTTGTACTCCTCCACGTATTGCCGCATGTTCTGCAGCTCCGACTCCAGCTGTCCCCTCTGTCCCAGGAGAGACTCTAGCCTCCTCCTCAGGTTCTGGATGTAGTTTTCAAAGATGACATCGAGGTTCTTCCTTGGCCCCGAAGGCCCTTGCTGTTGGAGGAGCTCCCACTTGGTGGAGAGGACCTTGTTCTGTTGCTCCAGGAAGCGGACCTGAAAGCCCACAAAGGGGTGTGTGAGATATTCACCCAGGGAGACATCACACCACTCAAAGCTTCTGCTTATTTCAGAGGCCAAGGGAATCATTTCCCAAATGCCCATCTAGGGATCATTCAAACATTCAAGCTCCTAAATTGTGCTAGAAACATTAAATTTTGAATCATTCTGAACGTCTCACTTTGGGACAAAAAGATGTTGCAGATAGAAAACAGCATCCCTATTTTCCATAGCATCAGTTTTGGACATTGTTATCATCTTTCCAGTAGTGAAGTCAAGAAAACAATTGGGTTTTCCAGCTAACTGCACATAAATTCTCTTACATGGGATTCTGTATTTCTTTGGTTTCTGTTTGAAATGAAAATAATCCAAGGGTGTTGGAAAGGTATTTAACGCTCTTGAATTTATATGATGAGTTCCTTGAAAAGAAAGTTTAATCAAAAAGAAAAACACAGTAGGTTAACTAAATATATGATGACTTTACCCTGAATCACAAGAATTTAGGCTGAAAAGATGACTAGGCAAGAGAATCTACAGAATATCCTGCAGATGTTCTCTTTAATCTTCCATTATTATGAAAACCTTTTCTATTGTTCAGTATTACTTAATAAGATCTTAATAATAACTTGCTTTTCAGGCATCAGTCTTGCAAACTTTAACCAGTACTTGTTGGTAAGAAAAAAATTCCCTTTCCACACCGCAGAAAGGTTGTTTAAAATCTCACCTCCAAACAAGCACAACCCTAAATTCTCACCTTATCAATAAAGGAGGCAAACTGATTGTTAAGAGTCTTAATCTGCTCCTTCTCCTGGTTTTTCACTTGCTGGATTTGAGGGTCAATCTCAACATGGACTGGTCTCAGGAGAGTCGGGTCAACTTGCACCGGTTGGATGCCTCCAGGGAAGCCAGGACCACCAAAGCCACCCATTCCTCCACCTCCCATTCCTCCACCAAAGCCACCCATTCCTCCACCACCCATTCCTCCACCACCCATTCCACCACCACCCATTCCTCCACCACCCATTCCTCCACCAAAGCCACCCATTCCGCCACCAAAGCCACCCATTCCTCCACCACTCATTCCTCCGCCAAAGCCACCCATTCCTCCTCCGTAGCCTCCTCCAAAGCCACCCATTCTTCCTCCATATCCTCCACCACCATAGCATCCACCTACAGTAATTCTTCTGCTGCCACCCATATTGTGGAGGCTTCTGCTGCTAAAACCTCCACAATGTCCACCTCCTCCACCTCCCCTGGATGAGGAGTATGAACTGTAACTGATCCTGCTTCTGCCGCCACCTCCTCCAAAGCCACCACCGATGGCAGAGCAAGAGCTGTAGCCCCTTCTACTCCCGCCTCCAAAGCTTCTGCAGGCAGACTGCCGAGACATGGCTGTTTCTTCCAAGCAGAGTCAAAAATCAAGAAGAGTAGAAAGACCAACGGAGCTGTGCTGCTGAGGGATGAATGCAGAGAGAAGTGTGCAGTCTTCTCTGGCTCCACAGCTTCAGGCACTCCCTTTTATCCGCTTCTGGAGGTGGGCTGGGACAGCATGGGCGTGAAGGTGGAAACCAGTTTAATATTTTCATCAGCATCGTGTTGTTGACAGATTCTCAGTTGAGCTTTACCATATTTGGGCCTGCCTAGAAACACACCCTGCAATATAGAAGTGAATAAAAGAACAAGAACATTGAAACAGGTCTCAGTGACTAAGTGGACTCTCACATCTTTATGACATCTTGGAAATCAACTCTTACAATAATATACTTTTCTGCAGCCCCTTATTGGATTTCCAACCTTAATCAATGGTTCCGAATAATTCCAGACACAGATCTTTCCAATCAAAGCTCCACTGAAAGCAGAAGTTTTGATGATATCCCAGCTATAATATAGCTTTCACAATTCCTTAAACACACCCTAAATCCCCGTTTTATATGTAAACTTGCCTTTGGCACTTTAGAAGAAGTTTCCCAATCTGGAACTGGAACTCATGACACCCAAGTTTGAAGAGACTCAGCATATTCTCCTGCTAGAAAGGGAAAACATCTCCTTGGAGTGTGCGTGGTCACTGTGAATGTGAGCGTCTTCTACCTGTGGATTGAATTCCCTCCAGCCGAATCTCCCCAAATCTGTGACAACTAACTGGGACCTTGGGTGATGCTGGAACAGAGTGAACAAGACAACTTGAATTGTCACGTTCCTTCTCTGTGCTCTTCTGAGAGTGACGGGGACTGATGACCTGTGGAAGAATGAAGGGACACAGGGCATCGGCTTTGGTGACGATGACTGGGGACAGACAGACAAGAACTATAGAAGCAGAACGACAGATTTGAGGTGGTGAGGGGTTCGTACTCCTCCGATAAATGTTGCTGACCTCTTGTTTACCTGCTAATTTCCAGTTATGGACAACCGAAGTGAAAAACTTGTTGAGAAATGGAGCTGTTACAACTTCTAAGGCATAGTATATTTTCTTGATTTCAAATATTCTGTTGGGAAGGGAACATATTTTAAAAATATATTCTGTAGGACATCTCTGAAATAAAGAAGCCCTTCTTTGGATTGCATGTAAATGAAATTTTTTAATATTATTCATGAGGTTCCAGATTGCGACAGAAAATATACAATGGTACTGATGCGCAGTGTTCTGAAGAAACTAGATTATATGTGCTGGTTAAAAGGAAACAGAGGTCTGTAAATACTATTTAAAAGGTATTCTGAAAGTATTATTTTTCTGGATACTATCAATCAAATATGTATTTAAGTTAATGAGTGAAATATACAATAGCACTTCACATTTCCTCTAGATAATGGTCAGCAGGAGTAATCAAAAAGTGAAGGAGAAAATATATGCTACAACCCTTCAAAAGATTTAGAAGAATAATGAATGTGAATTTAAGGTCACTCAAAAGACCCCAGTATGAATGTATGCATTTATATAGAATCTTCAGAGTCTACTCTCAGACTTGCGCAACTCAATGTTGTTTGAAAGCATCACTAGGGATCAGCCTTCAGCCACAGACACTTCAAAGCCTTTGAAACACCAGCCCAGAGAGTCACTTTCAAAAGGCGCCGGAGGAAGCAGAAGGACAACCGCCGTTGGCTGTCACTGAGGTGGAGGCTGCTGGACACCACGCTCTCTTCACAGGATGGGGCGTAGGGGGGTGGCGACCGTTACCCTTGGGGGGCTCAAGTGATGGTTGGCCAAGGGTTACCCAGGTGCGTGTGGCCCGCCCGGGGGCTGCAGCTGGAGGCTGGGCAGCCGTCCCTAAGGCAGGGAGGGGGCACCTTCCCCTTCAAAAGCAGCGGAATGAAGAGGGGCTTCGTCCTCAGCTGTTATCTCCAAAATGGAGAGTTAAGTGCTTGTCCTGGTTTTGGCTGGGATAGAGTTAATTTCCTCTCCAGTAGCTGCTGCAGTGCTGGATTTTGGATTGAGTGTGAGAATAATGTTGACTACACCCTGGTGTTTTAGTTGTCGCTAAGTAGTGCTTATCCTCAGTTAAGGATTCTTCAGTTTCCCATGCTCTGCCGGCTGTACAAGGAGTTGGGAGGGATCATGGCCAGGACAGCAGACCCAAACTACCCAAAGGGATATTCCATACCATAGGATGTCACGTCCAGTATAGAAACTGGGGGGACCTGGAGGGGAGATGTGGATCTCTCTGCAGAGGCTGTCAACGGGTGCTAAGTATTTGCATTGTGCATCACTTTTATTTGGGTTTTATTTCTCTCTCCTTTTGTTACATCCCTTTACAATACGATTACTACTACTACTACTACTGCTACTACTATTATTATATTTCAATCATTAAACTGTTCATATCTCAACACAGAGGTTTTACTCTTTTTTTCCATTTCTCCTGCTCAGCCCATTGGGATGGGGGAAGAGTGAGTGAGCAGCTGCATGATGTTTAGTTACTGGCTGGGGTTAAACCACAGCAGTGCTCCAGGTACCTCTACAGCCAGTGCACTCGCTCGTGGTGAGCAGACCTGGGGAGGTGTAACGTAGCTCAGTTTTCAGTTGCAGAAAACAGGTCAGCTCTTCTCATGGCCTCCTTCCAGGTCGCCAAGCGCACGGTAGCTGCCTCTCTCGGTAGGCAGCGTGACTTGGTTGTAACAGCCCACGTGGCAGCTCCACGGCGAGGGGGAAGATCTGTTAAGTCAGCCAAATGCCTGGATGCTGACCGCATTCAGCACACAGATAAGACGCCCAAATTGAGTCACTCTGACGTCTTCAGACAAGATGTGAAGATTATACCAAACCCGGAGTCACTTCACCCTCCTCCAGGTAAGACTCGATAGACAGCCCAGGCTCCAGCTGTTCCTTCAGATCTCTTACACAAGGAGCTGTGCACAGCAAAATCATCAACACCGGGCAAAATGTAAACTCTGCAGAAAACAGAGATGGAGCCCAGGCCAGGCTGCAGCTTCGGATCTCACACGGCAAAGAGCTCCTGGCAGCATAGAGGACAATGTCGCAATGATGCCTCACAACAATGCCTACAACGCCACGTTTCAGATTTTAAAGCTGAGAAGAAACAGTCTTCAAATTAAGCACGAAAACAAGTGACTCTTTCTCCAAGCCAAACCCCAAAGTGCTCTTGGCACAGCCCCAGCTTCTCAGAGGCATTGCCTTCTCATCGTCTTCTCTTCGAGCCAAACCCCGTCACGTTCCCCAGCTCTAGCATGCTCCTGCTGGGCTTCAGAGCAAGCAGGAGACCCTCGCCACCACTCCCCACTGCCTTGGCTGGACCTCCTCCTAGCTCTGCAGCTTCCTGACCTGCTGCGGGGACACCGGCACCTCACAGCAGGTTGCTCTGGGACTCCTGCACCACTATGAAAGCGGTTTCCGTCTCTTTGATCTCTTCTTGTGGCGGAGGAGCTGAAGCACAGCGCAGATCAAACACGCCATTCCTCGCCCAGTCCCCCCCTCCTCGAGCGAGACCAAACCTCTCCCTCTTGCTCTCAGTGTAAGGAAGAGGCACTGGGGGAATCAGCCGGCTTTTGGGGAGCTGATGGGGACCTGAGCCCATGGGCCTGGGATGAATCATGCCTTCCCAGCCCTCCATGTTCCCCTTGTGGTGCATGAAGGGGAGGCTGAGGCAGCGGTTCTCAAGCACCCCTGGAGCTCATGGGGTGCCGAGCTGTGCAGCCAGCCTGGCCACAGCTCACTTGTACGCCGGAGGGAAGGTGCTTGGCCAGCGTCCATACCCACGCTCACAGGCAGCTCCAAACCTGCCCTCCCACCACTGCCCACAAACCGCTGCCATCCTCTTCCCCTAACACGTATCACCACCAGGAGGTGATCAGAAGTCATGAGAGGGTGCTCAACTGCATTGGTTGGTCCAATGGCTGAGCCATTAATTCTTGGACAGTAGTGCTGCCTCAGCTGAATTGCTGCACATCACTTTACTGGAGCACCCAGAACCCGACCGTTCTAGGTATGGGCTTGGGCTCTCAGGCACTGCAATGGCTGGTAAGAGTCAGGAGGCATCGCTCACGCTGGGACACCCGCCTGGCTCTCTCCACACACCCATCCAGCTCCCCCAAAGCACGGTTACGACGCGTTGAACAGACGAACAACCCACACCTTCCCACCAAGTCGCTTCCCCAACAGAAAAAAAACCTTGCCTAGAAGTGACTCCCCAAGCAGCGACACAAAGACATCGTGAATGTTCTCTGCAATTTATTGAGAATGGCAACATCCCAAGGAAGTAGGGCATACCACAAACAGAAGAGGAAGGGAGGTGGGGACAGTACATCCCGTGCCATGTCACAGGGGGCCTGGCGGTGAAGAGCAAGCTTTGCTCTCCTTAGAAAAAGTCCACGTGTGTGTGAGGTGTTACCAGGTGTCACGGAGAGCAAGGACAAGTGGAACGGGAAGCCACCACTCCAGAGAGAGCTCCCGTTTACACCGCACCTGGGGCTACCAGGTGAGCAATGCCGCCCAGGTGCTTCGCCCTGGGGCACTTAATCCCTCTGGGCACCTGCCGAGAAGATGCTCCCTCCTCGGCTCTGCCAAGGGACGACTCCCACTTGCCCCACATCTACCCTGACCCCAAAGGCTAGTGAATGGAAGCAGCGGGATGTACTGCATGCAGAAGCACCCCAGGGACACGGCCATCAAGGGAGGAACACGAGGACAGAGGAAGAAAGAGGGGTTTTATACACATTTGCCACGAGGCAGCCAGAAATGTACAACACAGCAAGAAAGGCAGAGCGCTCCCCTCCTGTAAATCAGCTCTCCGTGCTGGGTATCCACAGGTGAGACTTCTCTTTGCTCAGGTGGTTATTTCATCTCTGGGCTTGGAGCGAACAAGCAGCTCACCAGAGCTCTTGGTGGGACATGGCACTGCCACGACGCTCCCTGGATGGGACCAAGCCAGGCAGCTGAGCTGGGTTGTGGTGGGCCGTGAGGGACACAGTTCGTTTCATCGCAGGATGCCGGAGCTGGATTTAAGGAGGCTGGGCTGCTGCCGGGAGA